GAAACACAGAGCAGAGGCACACGCTAGTCTCTAATCTGATGATCATCATAGACGCTGGGCCAAACACCACGTTCTCTCTGTAGCTTTGTTTTTGTACTTTTGTCTTCAGCATAAAGATCAGCAGCAAATATCCCGTCAGGACTTCCTGCAGGGATCCTTGAAGAACTCAGCAGGACTAGAAACAGTGATAAACGTCAGACTGTGATGAGCACTTTAACTGCATCTGTTCTGAAGTTAAAGGATAAACTGATCACTCAGAGACAGTTTTCAGATCTAATAATAAAACGTTTATTCATGTTGCAGCTTTTTAACTTAAGTTCAGACAGCAGGGCCAGAAATACACCAGGAAGTAACAGAATAAAAAGGGTTAGACAATCGATTACAAAACGATCAGTGATGATAGAATCAAATGACCTTCTCTCTCGACTCAAAGCCTGATGGAAAAGCACAGTTACAGCCTTCAAACAAAGATGGCAGCACAGCTTACAAACTCACAGCTCGTGACCTCTGACCTGCACAGTCTGAAGCTTGTCCTTTAAATGATGCTCTCTTCATTTCAGCTTCACGTAAACCTTTCAGTCCACTTTTTATCCGTTTTAGCCTCTTTGAGCTCCTGTTTTACACATTTTTCCTCTTTCAGCCCGTCCCTCTGTCTCCTTTCTCTCTGACCGGATACAGACTCGACCACAAGAGGCAGGTGAGGACAGACTCCTGCTCTGCTTCCCGCCAGCACGCCACTTTCTTTCTCTTTTTGCTCAGCATCGTCTACAACGTGTTTAAGCTATTTTAAAATCAAAGAGCAGTGCTTCAGTGTCTGTGTTTGCTTCACCTCAGGAGGAGAACACAGAGATGACGCTCAGAGGGACTCTGCAGAGACTCGGGTAATCCAGAAACTCTGCTTCTATCTTTGAGGTTTAAACAAGCAGTCAGTAACCCTCTGTCTCTCTTCCAGTCCTTCCAGTCTGGTCCCAGTTCCTCCAGTCAGCCAGTGGCACAACCACACATCAGTGGTGAGCTTCTCCACATCAGCTTTCATGCTGCCTCACTCTTATTTTGATGGTTTACAGCCGCACTTCCTGTCAGGATGCTTTATTCTTTTCTAACCTGCTGAGCCTGATGGGTATTGTAGTTTTT